TATCGATTGAATGACAAAATGAAAGAACAAAATATATAAAAAAATATTTAAGTTAATTATCAACTATTATAAATTAATTTCATCATTAGAACTTCACTATATTTAGTTATGTGAGAATGAAGAGAAAATAATTAACTCATTTTAATAACCAATTATACTAAAATATATATTTTTTTCCTTTAAAATTTTTTAAGAATTTGTGCCCTTAAAATTTTTGGGCCATGGGTGGCCGCCCCGCTGGCCCTGCCCTAGGACCGGCTCTGCTTGAAAGCCAAAAGTTTGTCTATACATATTCATCCCAAACCGTGCAATTTACGAAATTTTCACTGCATTAAATTTCAAATTGTTGGATATTTAATGCATATAATAAAATTATATGATTATAATAGATTATATTGCAGAAAAAACTGCAGTTAAAAAAATACTTAATTTAGATCCATAAGAATGAATTCAACTATTTGGATATCGTCAGTTTTTATTTGTTTTTCTTGCACACTTTGAATGTAAACAACCAATCCGATAACATCAACAATAAAAAAAACAATATAATATAATTTAATTACTTTGAAATAAACAAATAAAATTAGAAACAAAATGAAATAATCTTACCGAATAACATCGATTCATCGATTTTGTTGACAGATTGTAGAGTTGCAAAGTCTTTGAGTTGAAATCGAAATACAGGAAATTCTTCCTTGCACTTTGTAAAGATAGTGCTCCCGTGCAGCATGATCTTAAAATCACCGGATGTCGAATGATACTTCCCTATATTGATGTCCACTTGATAATTTTTTTATACAAATGACCATGCCCTCCTCAAAATTCCTCTCTCTAAACGCAACCAAGTTGATTGCCCGTAGCCATGCTGTAATGCGATTACGCTAAACATATACGAAAAAACAATCAATGAAAAAATAATTTGTTTTATAACATAAAAAATGTATATTATATATATACAAAAATATATGTTTGACATTTCGAAAAAAAAAATAAAAATCAATAATAATAATTTAGCTTACAGTTTTATCATGTAGAACCAACTCAAGATAGGATTTGTATGTGCTGTCCAGTCTTAGAAAAACATTCTTACAATTCGAACTTTAAGCATAGGTCTATTAAACCTATTAATGGTTTGATTAAGCCAAATTCTTGATTCATTGTTATGAATGACACACTAATTGGAGATTATTTTTTTTTTTCGCAGGTGGTTGAAAGTGAGGAACACGCTGATTCAATATTTGGAGATTTATAATTTATAATTGCATTATCACATTATATGTAGTTTTTTGATAATGTGAAAGAAATCATATCAGATCATTATATGTAGGAACAAATATGGTCAGATTTATATCGCATTATATATCGCAGTATAATTATAATTGCATTAAAAAAAAGATTTTTCATACAACAAATTAAACGCTTTTTGGAAGAAGTTTTTTTTGTTGACCGATCAAAACTTTTTTTTACTGGTTTAGTAATAAGTAGTAAGTAATAGAATGTATTAAATATAACAAGTAATAAGTGATTAAATAAAACTATTGATGGAAATAGCATGCATTAATTGTTCTTTGACTTTTCTACCTACTAATTTTGGTAAATGGTATGGCTTATTATATAAGTATAGATTCTTAAATTTTAAAATTAATGAGAAAACTATATTAAATTTAGTTTACTTTTTAAAAAAAATATATTACTATATATTTTAGAATGATATATGTTACTTATGACTTACATGTGTTATATTATATTATGAAGTGAATAAGATTCACCCGGGCTCCTTCAACTCGAACCGGCCTCCATACCTGCAGAACCCAACGCCGGGTGGCCCCGGCGTCGGGCCTCCAATGCCTAAGTCAGTGCTCGGATCAAGAGAGAGAAAGTGTAGTAATGTAATGAGTAGTTAATGAGAATGAGGTACCTTGGCCCCCCTTTTATAGGGGGAGTGTACCTTTGTGGGCTCAAGTTGAGCTTGGCCCATATTGTTGGGCTTAGACGTCTTAGTGGGCTTATCTTCCAATATGTATCCGCTTTATCCATTAAATCGGGTCTAGTATAATATCTTATATCATCTAGTCCCCCCCACTCTGGTCGAGTAAGCATAACTCGATCCAAGAGTGAAATGCCTCTTCGAGTTGTTTTCTTCAATTTGCCACTAAGATCGAGCATCAGAAGTCGAATGACCAATGAATAATCACTGAAATATCCTCCAAGTGAGCTTTGAGATCTCAAGATCGAAAATCGAAAGACCACGGAGGTCGGAAATAGAATGATCTAACGTCGGGGTCGAAAATCGGGAGTCGGGACCGCTGAGGTCGAAAACTGAGAATTGAGACCGCTGAGGTCGAAACCCGAGAGTCGAAACTGAGAGTCGAGACCACTGAGGTCAAAAACCGAGAATCGAAACCACTGAGGTCGAAAACCGAGAATTGAGACCGCTGAGGTCGAAAACCGAGAGTCGAGACCGCCAGAGGTCGAAAACCGGGAGTCGAGACCGCAAGAGGTAGAAAATCGAGAGTCGATACCGCTGAGGTCGAAAATCGAGAATCGAGACCGCAAGAGGTCAAAAATCGAGAATCGAGACGGTAAGAGGTCGAAAACCGAGAGTCGAGACCGCTGAGGTCGAAAATCGAGAATCGAGACCGCAAGAGGTCAAAAACCGAGAGTCGAGACCGCTGAGGTCGAAAATCGAGAATCGAGACCGCTGAGGTCGAAAACTGAGAGTTGAGACCGTTGCAATCGAAAACCGAGAATCGAGACCGCAAGAGGTCGAAAACCGAGAGTCGATACCGCCAGAGGTCAAAAATCGAGAGTCGATACCGCTGAGGTCGAAAACCGAGAATCGAGACCGTAAGAGGTCGAAAACCGAGAATCGAGGCCGCAAGAGGTCGAAAATCGAGAGTCGAGACCATTGAGGTCGAAAACCGAGAATCGAAACTGCAAGAGGTCGAAAACCGAGAGTCGAGACCATTGAGGTCGAAAACCGAGAATCGAAACCGCAAGAGGTCGAAAACCGAGAGTCGAGACCATTGAGGTCGAAAACCGAGAATCGAAACCGCAAGAGGTCGAAAACCAAGAATCGAGACCGCAAGAGGTCGAAAATCGAGAATCGAGACCGCAAGAGGTCGAAAACCGAGAGTCGAGACCATTGAGGTCGAAAACCGAGAATTGAGACCGCTGATGTCGAAAACCGAGAGTCGAGACCGCAAGAGGTCGAAAACCGAGAATCGAAACCGCAAGAGGTCGAAAACCGAGAGTCGAGACCATTGAGGTCGAAAATCGAGAATCGAGACCGCTGAGGTCGAAAACCGAGAGTTGAGACCGTTGATGTCGAAAACCGAGAGTCGAGACCGCAAGAGGTCGAAAACCGAGAGTCGATACCGCCAGAGGTCGAAAACCGAGAGTCGATACCGCCAGAGGTCGAAAACCGAGAGTCGATACCGCTGAGGTCGAAAACCGAGAATTGAGAGACCGTTGACCGAAGTCTTGAATTTGAAAATTTGAATTTACGTCTGTTGTGTTTCGATCACCATATTCGAGATCCCTTATACTACCTCCTCGTCCTATCACCCCTCAGTTCAAAGTTTAAAATTCAAGCCTGTTGTGTGTTCCTTTGAAAATCAACCACCAATCTGCTTGAGCCGTAATGAATATACTCGACCCGCCACTGAAGTCGAAAAATCAGTTCGACGGAAGCATAATCAAACAAAGCACAATCAACCTGCTCGAGCAAAAATGAATATACCTGACCCGCCACTGGGGTCGAAAAACAATTTCGATAAACCAGAATCAACAATCAACTTGCTCGAGCAAAAATGAATATACCTGACCCGCCACTGGGGTCGAAAAACAATTCGACGGAATCATAATCAAATAAAACACAATCAACCTGCTCAAGCAAAAATGAATATACCTCACCCGTCACTGGGATCGAAAAATCAATTCGACGGAATCATAATCAAATAAAACACAATCAACCTGCTCGAGCAAAAATGAATATACCTCGCCCGCCACTGGGGTCAAAAAATCAATTTCGATAAACCAGAATCAACAATCAACATGCCCGAGCAAAAATGAATATACATGACCCGCCATTGGGGTCGAAAAACAATTTCGATAAACCAGAATCAACAATCAATCTGCCCGAGTTATCCGTAGTGAGTTTGATCGACCTGCCACTGAGGTCAGAAGCACAAATAGCAAAAAACCAAATCAAATAAATTCGTTAACCTGCTCGAGCTATCCTTAGTGAATTTGATCGACCTGCCACTGAGGTCAGAAGCACAAATAGCAGAAAACCAAATCAAATAAATTCGTTAACCTGCTCGAGCTATCCGTAGTGAATTTGATCGACCTGCCACTGAGGTCAGAAGCACAAATAGCAGAAAACCAAATCGAATAAATTCGTTAACCTGCTCGAGCTATCCGTAGCGAGTTTGATCGACCTGCCACTGAGGTCTCCGATAGGCTCCATGTCTTCACGACCCAGCACTAGGATCGACCACCC